GAGGGTTAGAAGACAGGAAATTAAGATTCCCCTTTATGGCCTCTATTTTCTCTGTGAAATTATTACTGAAAGTAAGGATGAAAGTGATGAGCAAAAAGGCTTAAAGAGAGCGTTCAAAGTTTAACATCGCTATTGTGGAGAACACCGAAAGTCATTAACGTAGCTGAAGACTATGGCTGTGTCATGGCACTAATCCACACAGATGGACAATTATCTCCAAGCTCTTCAGCAACCTGGGAGAAAGGGAAATAAAGACAAACAGTACATTTGATCAGCCTTGGAGTTTCAACAGGTGGCAAAGTTAATCCAGGCAGAATTGAAGTAAAAAGCTAAAGGTGGAGGTGCTGGTTGTCAATTTATTGCCTCTCGGCTCCAAATTGAACCTCCTTGCCCACTCTGTGAAAATAATTCTGGGCCCTTTAAATAATTTTCCTTTGCCAGCTGAAACAATGTGAAGCTTTGTCAGGAGAGGCGCTGGACCTGGAGACAGATTGTGCGAGGAAAAGGCAGGCTCAAGCAGGCTCCTGCAGCGCAAGGCAGCCACAGCCCCCTGGCACCCCTGCCCCCCACTTTGAACTGTTTTGTAGCAGAGTGCTTCCAGTGAGACATCTCCCCATGGATGGCTTTTCCCTTCCAGCATGCTCCAGGGGGCAGATTTCCAGCAAGTTCGGCCGGCACAATACTACAGCAACTTTTCTGCCATTCAGTGAGTTACATCCGTGCCCGCCTTCTTCCAGGAGGTCTGGATCTGAGCCCTGGGAAGGGGTCCTCTTCCCCAGGTGCCTCTTAGCACCTGCTCCTTATATCTATTATTCCTATATTCAGTAGTTCTCTTAACTTCTTACTAGCCAATCCCTCATTCCTCTAATCCCCTGTTGTAGTTAAGATTTTTTTATAGTAAACATTCCCTGTTCAAATTGCTATGTGATTTCTCTCTTCTGTTTGGACCCAGACTGATACAATAGTCAGGAAAGAAAATAAAATCAGGAGGAGACAGGTAATTTGGAAGAGAACAGAGGCCAATGGTCTGAAGGTCACTTTGAGTTTAAAGAATGGTTATAGGGGGGCCGGCCCTGTGGCTTGGTGGTTAAGTGTGTGCGCTGCGATGCTGGCGGCCCGGGTTCGGATCCCGGGTGCGCATTGAGGCACCACTTCTCTGTCCATCCTGAGGCCGAGTCCCACATACAGCAACTAGAAGGGTGTGCAGCTATGACATACAACTATCTACTGGGGCTTTAGGGGCAAAAAATAAAATAAATAAAATCTTTAAAAAAAAAAAAAAAGAATGGTTATAGGGAGAGTACAGGAGTGAGAGAGCTGGAAGAGTTGGAGCTTATGGCAAAATATTAGTTATAAAGAACAATTTTCTCCCTTCCTCCTCCCCAGCACCCTTCACACCTCACTCACAAAGTAAGAACTTCCACCAACACTTCTGCCCTCTTGGGAAAGTACTATGGAAGAAACTCCTGTCATTTTCTCCACCTCACAGAAAAGACAGAAAAAGCCCTGTTGATTGCAAAGACCGTAAGAACCTGACGTGCGTCGGGCCACAGCTCTCTGTTGCGTGGGGTGGATGCACTAAATCACTGCTCACATATGGATCTCTAACTCGGACTGGTTTACATGCCCATAGATGTGAGGCAAGCCACAGTACTCCATGTTGCTTATGGGGGCACGCTAACTCTCTCCACCATCGTGGATTCTAAGGTTTACTGCTGGAAGAGGAAGTAACAGGAGGCTCCCACTTTAGCAGCAAGTCCCAGCCATGTTTTCCAATCTAGATTTATCAGCAGCAAAGTGGATACTAAATTTCAATCCTCCTTTTAGCTTTTCTACTAATTTTCCAAATGACTTAAAATCTAAAGAGGGTAAGAGGGGCTGATCAGCATTCTGAAAACCCTAGATTTAGAGCCTGAAATTTCTGAAGAATCTCTTGGTAGAACATTTGTTCATGATGACAAGGACTGGAAAAGGTCACAGAAGTGTGATGCTAGCGTGGAATGAATGGAGAGCCACTGGAGTCAAAGACTGCAGAAAACAGTAGCTATTGGGTGTTGGACATGATCTCTACATGGATCTCTACTCAAGTCATCCAAGGTGAAGGTGAATTTAGGATGGGGAGGAAAAATGTAAGCCAGGAGACTGACCAGGACTTGATGGTGACAGTGAATAGAAGAGAAAAGTGTGGCAGAGTTGGTCACACCTGGCTTTAATGGAAGACTTTTTATAGGAAGGTGAAGGAATAATGCAATAATGTTTGGAAGCCACAAAAGGAGAAGTAGGCAAATGCTGTGCTTGATCCAGGCCCTTAGATTCTTTGGGTTTAGGCCAATAAATAACCCTCAGTGAAGAAAGCTACAGGATAAACAATAATCTCAGGGAGAAAGATAGGTTTTACTTAAGGCAAAATATAAAATGTTTTGAGAAGACAGTACAAATATACAACCACCATTGATCCAGAGAGCATAATGGAAAGGGAGGTTCAAAGGGTGGAGAGCAAAGAATAGAAGCCAAAAAGTGTCCGGGAACAAGCTGTCTCATCCCATGCCATCAGGACCGATTGTTGGTTTTCCAGTATGTTGGATACAATGGGAAACGATAAAAAAAAAAATTCATCCATACCATAAACACTTTATATAAGTTAAAACATAAATGTGCCAATACACACATGTGCCAATCTTTTGATGTAAGGCCAAGGCCTGTTCTCTGCATATGGATCTGCTGATTGGAGTTATGCGTCTTCTGTCTTACATAAACCACTTCCTTCATCTATAATTCCCAGTTTTGCTCTCTTCAAAGTAGAGGGAGAACCTGAAGACACTTGTGAATAACCCAAATGCAGAGCCCATCTAGACTTGTATAACACCCCCCACGTTCTTTTAGTGTTGTCCTACCTACACCTAGGCAATAGCAAAGCTTTTGTAGCTAACCTTTATCAAGTCTTTCCAAAGCTGAGTTTTTATAGAAACAAAATTCAGTCTTTTCTGCATTTGATCAGTTTATTTACTCTTCATTTAAACTACATAATTAAAATAAGAAGCACAACTGGCCTAAACAGGTTTGAGGACAAACACAACACAATTGGCCCTTGGAAAGAAGACAGCTTAACTGATGGGGGCAGGAATGTATGGGCAACATAGAGAGAAGCCTTTGGCTGAAGACATGTGTCTGCTGAGGGTGGCCATCCATGTGGTTAATTCTGTAAGTCAATTAAGAGAGCTTTAACTATACAGGTCACACGACTGACTGCATTTTGAGGCAAAGACAGCAGGGATGCGAAGTATTATTAACTTGCTTCAAATTTCCAAATGAAGAACTGGTATAAAGACTGTTTTTCTTCTCCATGTGCACTCTTTCCCCTTTCCTCAGTCCCTTAACTCCTATGGTTTTTCTTATTTTGGAGAAGAGAAACTAGAACTTTAAGGAACAAGGTGAAAGAATAGTAAAAGGTTTAGAGAACAGGGCTGAAGCACCAAAGCCACTTCTGGGCCCCAAGCTAGTTCTACTTAAACTCCTTTTCTTTTAGCATTGACATCTAGGAATCTAGCCTGCTTTCCTCCTTCACCACTTACATCTTCTCTTCATTTGAGTTTTTCTGCCAGGTAACTGGGGACCCATATTCATCTTCATTCACATTCTCTTTTTCTCCTTCTTCCCACTGTTTTTTCAGGGAAGTTACTCATAGCAACCATACAGAAAGGGAATGATAACAAAACTAACAAAACCAGAAATATCTATACTTTTAAGAAATGATCAAAGCACAGTTGGCCCTCTGTATCCTCAGGTTCTGCATCCACGAATTCAACCAATCATGAATTGAAAGGCTTACGATAGTTGCGTCCATACTGAACACGTACATACAGACTTTTTTTGTTATTATTCCCTAAACAATACAGTATAACAACTATTTACATAGCATTTACATTGTATTAGGCATTAAAAGTAATCTAGAGATGATTTAAAGTATATGGGAGGACGTGCATAGGTTATATGCAAATACGACGCCATTTTATATAAGCGACCTGAGCAACCGTGGATTTTGGTATCTGCAGGGTCCTGGAACCAATCCCCTGGGATACTGAGGGATGACTGCAGCAGTGTTAACTGTCATGCGGCTAGGCCTACCCTACCCGCAACATCATCACTAATTCCCCACTTTCCAATTTTCCCATACAGGGTACCCCTTTCATGTCCCTAGCACAATTCCTCCACATTCCTCAGTGAGGAGTCCCCCAGATTGGGAAGTCTCTCCTCTCCTACTCTAAATCATAGATTCAATAAATATTACAAGGGAAAGAATATTGGGTGCTACTAAAGTGGCCATTTATAGATTAGTCATCATTTACTGAGCACTTACCATGGTTAATCAACATGTTACGTGCCCTGTGGGTTTCAGGCATCATCTTGTTTAATTCTCACTGAGATGGTGGTATTGTTACTATTATTATTATCATCTCCATTTCACAAAGAATTTAACAAGACTATAGAGATTGAGTATGATGCCCAAGGTCACATAGAAAGTTAAGTAGCAGAGCCAAGATCTGAATCTTGGAAACTGGACCTCATGGGTGTGCTCTTAACTACTACACCACACTGTCCTTTCCCAGAATGTCTAGGTTCAAGTGAGATTCATTAAAAATGAATTTATAAAGAATTTAGAAGAATTTCCTTATTGAAATACACAATATCAATGATTCCCTTCCCCTAACAATTACCCCCATCCAGGCACCATAGGAAAAATTAGTTTAGGGCATTCACCTAATTGTTCTAAAGTGATATTTACCTGTTTAAGACAACAAGGAAAAAATTAGCAGACTAAAATACATCCTTTCTGGTTTAAGCAACCCTATTTGGAATGGGGTGATAGAAGACAATACGCCTATCTGTTATGAAAGCTATTCCCACAAACTCATTCACAGAAAAGAGAGGCCCATAGCAGGGTAGGAAAGATGGGTAAACCAAATAGTTACTTTTTGGAAAGTTAAATAAGTCAAACTTACTTTTTTGGTACACTTTTTGACAGTGTTGATTAATTCTTGTATCACCAGATCTACACTCTTCAAGGAAGGCCCTTTCAGTTTCACAATTTGTTTTTTGACTATTGCTTCAAATGCCATGTCTGGAGTGAACAACCCTGTCCTGAACGTAAGAAAGAAAGCAGCACGTTAGATCTTTTAAATTGAGTAATATCCAATACTCTTTTTAAAAATGTTTTAATTGACAAGCCACTTAAAATAAGCATGTAATATTCAAGTTTAAAAGTTACATAATAATTTATTCTATCCACAGAATCATTTGTAATAATATATTTAATACTACTACTATTCCATAATAAATTCCATTCTATAGATGACTAACATTACCTAAAAACAGTTCCTAAAATGTTTTCATGGCCTATAACGTAGCTTTTATAACGTAGCCTATAATGTAATATTTAACTGTAATTTGTCTCATCTCACTATTTCACAGCAATAAAAAGGAATGCTACAATAGAAATGGTGTCCTAAATTTACATTTCTATTTCTAAAGTGTTCCAAAAGCAGTCTTCTTGTCCTTTGTGGTGTAAGAAATGATCCTCACTTTTTGAACACTGAAAAAGTAGCATTCCTGGACCACACAATCTATTCTATCCAGGAGAGCTGCATTATAGTGAGCCCAGTGATTCCCAGTCTGAGGTCCTGGGGTGCTGGAGGGAAACGAAGGCAGCTAAGTGGAACTAGCCTGGGACCCAGGATGCCTAAATTGTGAATTTACAAAAATAACAAACAATAACCCAAATAGCAAGTATCTTTTTTTTTTTTATAATTTTATTTATTTATTTTTTCCCCCAAAGCCCCAGTAGATAGTTGTATGTCATAGTTGCACATCCTTCTAGTTGTTGTATGTGGCACGCGGCCTCAGCATAGCCGGAGAAGCCGTGGGTCCGTGCGCGCCCGGGATCCGAACCCAGGCCGCCAGCAGCGGAGCACGCGCGCTTAACCACTAAGCCACGGGGCCGGCCCACCAAATAGCAAGTATCTTTTCATTTGGCTGGAATTATTTCAAATTGGTGTCATAATAATGCTTTTCTCATGCTGTGCAGAAGCTCAGGAAAGCTGGTGTGTAGGTGTGTTTCATAAAAAGTGAAAAATGATTACTCACATTTATACAAAAGGTACTAGAGAAAAGCTACAATAAGAAGGACCCTGAACCCTGAGCATCAGCCATGCCCACAGCTCTGCAGGCTCCAGGTGCTGGACTTGATCCTCCTCGTTCCTACACCCTCCACCCTTCCTCTTCTCACTTCTGATTTGATTAACTTCTCTTCCTTCAACACTCAGTTTGATGGTACCTCTTTTGGGAGATTTCTTTAACAATTCCCCTCAGCATTCTTCTATGTCCCTTCTCATCATTTACTTAGCACCCTACACTCACCTCTATTCTAACTGTAATGATCATACTATATTGTAATTGTAATTTCTCCACAGTGGATATAGAATAAAATCCACACTGTTTAGTCTAATATTAAAAATTTTCCCGTTTGACTCTAATCTTCCTCCGTAGTTATTTCCTCCTCCCTTTCTTGCACCTGACGTTTCAGCCAAACCAGACCATTTGCCTTTCCACAAACATATTCATCCTAATATTTTATGTCTTTGCTTGCGTCTACGATGTTCATTTCACCCTCCCCACAATTTCAGCCTGTCCAATCCCACCCGTGCTTCAAAGCCCAGATCAAAAGCAACCACTTCCACAGCTCGTCTTCTCCAGTCCTGCTGCTGACAAGGTCTTCCTTCTCTGAACCCCAACATCCTATTTTGCATTGCGGCGGTCTGAGCGCGTATTTTAGTCCCATTACTACACTGGTAGGAAGAGTCATTACTGCTTTTATCTTTGTTTGCCCCACAAGGACTGTCTTCCTGCCTTGCTCATCATTGGCACTCAGTGTTAGCAGAACAAAGAAGGACCATCAGGTCCTTAGTGGGCAAAGATGGTTTCTATTATTCAAATATCTAACAGAATTGGGAACAAAAACTTTTCAAACTAAGCGTATTTAAGGGCTTAAAAAAATCACACCATTAGTATGTATTATACTCAGGACATTGTGTACTTATTATTATCTTAACAGGCAAATTAACTCCAGAATAACAACCAATCTCTTCTATTAGTACGCAGATAAATCAGAAATCTACTATACTGAATTACTGAGCTTTTGCAATTACATTCAACAAAAATGTATCTGGTAAGGAATTTTAAAAGCCAAGTAAAAGTACTGTATTTCGTTAAGTAAAAATACTTTATGACCCCAAAAATGTGATTTGGTTTCACTGTGTTTATCAGATAGACATGTTCACATACTAATTTTGCCCAGCTAAAGAGCAAGACATATTTTCTATACCAAATGTATTCTGGATTTGAGAGAGAAGGAACAGAATTAATAAAGAACTTAGAAATCCTGTTGACAGTAAGAGAAAAATATTGGATTTGGTTATAGATGTTTTCTCCTTTTCACTTTGTGAATGCATATTTACCCATACTACTTGAGACCTGTAGAGCAGGTTGTCTAAATTTTAACAGTAGATAATTCACATGTCATAACTCCTTTGGAAAATCACCCATCACATGCACACTCAGCATCAAGCTTTGCCCTCTCAGGCTCTGTTCCCAAAATAGTCTCGACTTGGCTTTGTGGCAGAGGCTGAGACACAGTTGCCAATAGACAGGGGACATCTCCCTCATGTGAGATAATCTACGAAGTAGGCAACCTAAGTTTTATTACCTTGAATTCAGGACACCTCATTTTAACGTATTCTCTGTTAAATTTTGTTTAGCCTTCTGTAAATGAACTCAAGAAGTGTGTGTTTTAAATTCATTTTTTTCTTATCATAGTTCTTTAAAGAAAGGAATGGAGAACAATCCCATTTTAGACAAGGATAAATTCAGGCACAAGTTGCACTCCCAGCCTCGTGCCCCTCTGCTCCCCTGCCTAGACTCCTAACTCCAGTCGACACGCATGACTCCCTGCTCCACGAATATGAGCTGCACTTCACCACCGCTGTGCCTTTGCTCCCACTACTGCCACTTGCAGCCCTTTCTTTTATCCTCCAGCCTCAACAATCTCCATCCTCTCATGTCTCATTGCATTCCCTCCTACCCCATATACACTCACTCACACACACACACACACACACACACACACACACAAGCATGTGTGTGCACACAGCACACCTTTGCCTGTGAAATCATTTTTGTTCTTTAAACAGGCAAGGTTTGACTCAAAAGTAACCACCTTCATTAATCTTTCCCAGTCTTGCTCCACAACTCCAGTCAAAATGAATCTCTCCTATCTACGTGTAAGTAATGATTACTTATGAGCATGTCAGGCCACCCTCCCTAAAATGTAAGGCTCTGGAGAACAAGTTCTTACTGATCGGTAAATCCCCGATTGTGCAGAGCACAATGCTGTGAGTGCGGAAAGTGTTTTTGTTTTTTTAATTGAAAAAGACCAAGTGTGACAATACAGGGAATTACCACTGAACCCAAACTAGGATTTCCTATTTCTTACTCCCACCTCTGTATTCTATGCTGTTCAGATGATGAAAAGGCTACTTCACTAGCCATTTATAAACATTAATTTTCTTTTCATAGTTTGAACTGAAGACAAAGAAAATGTGAATCACTTGCCTGATACCATGTATGTTTTTGATTGCATAGCTTATTTCTCTTCGCAATTCTTTCTCATTGAACTCCATCTGCAGATGCAAAATAAGCCACAGTTATGACACTTAATTCCCTTGAATAATAATATTGTTGAATATTAAAGAATGAGAATAACTTGACTTAGTTATTAATAAATGGATATTCATGTCTTTCCTAACCTAAACCCAGATGGTCAAAACATCTGTTTATATAAAGTTCAAGGCAACATAGAACATTAGGGATTTCTGAAGTTTTAGTGCAGCGGATTTTAACTCTATTATAGATAAGGAGTGCAATGCATAAAGGATGCCTTCTGGACATAAATCTGGCCATTCATTTGAAATATTTAATTCTTCATTCTTTTGCTGAACGTAGTAAATGTACTCACAGACGAAAGCATAAATTAGAGTGTCACCTGATGTGCAACAGTGGTCCAGCTGTGCTGAGATTAACAATGGCTGTCTTCTCTCCCTGGCCATTTTAACCACCTGAGTTCAAGACCTCTTTATAAGAGGAAATTAATACTATTTTACCAGCCCAACATAGGATAGATTGCTGTATAAAAACTTCCCATAAGTTCTAGGTACCTTAAATTTATTTGGAAGTAGGATCAAAGTGTCATAGAGCTTAGACCTGGAAGGGATATCAAGAGAACACTTGGTCCAGCCCCTGGCTTCTGAAACTTGGCCTCTGCAGCCTCACTCCATTTTCCCCTCACACTGTATGCCACAGATCAATGCATCGTCTTAGTTCCTGGCCCACACCCTGTGGCTCCACAGCTCAGCCCTTACCATCCGCCCTTTCTGTCTGGAACAACCCCATCTCCACCCCAAACCCACCTCCTCCTGCTTAACTAGCTGCTCACCTTTCTAAACTCAGCTCAAAAGCCAGGCTCCCTTACACACTCAGGCTGGGATTCATGTCCGTGGGCTGCGTTTCCATAGCACTCTGTGCTGAAGTTTATCATTTTACTTAGCACATTTTAATGAAACTATCTATTTATCCATCTGCCTCCCACACCGAGACATAAGCATCCGACTCTGGATGTGAGGCAAGTAGCATAGTCCCTAAAACTACCTAGCTGCCTACTGGGCATTTCAAACATTCCAAAAACAGAACTCTTGATTCATACCTACACACACACACAGATTTCCTCAGTTTCCCTCATCAGATGGGCACTAATATTTGCTCAGCTGTGCAAGCCAAAACCTTGGGAGTCATCTTGAATCTTCTCGCATCCCCCATATCAGTCCAAGCCCTATTGACCCTACCTCCATAATCACAAATCCATCTACTTCTATCCATCCTCTCTTCTGAGGCATTTTTACTATGAAGCTAAAGAAGTTTCAAGTCTTCTCCAAGACCCTGTACCCAATTGTGTGTTTATAATTTTGTATTCTTCTTCAAGGGGGTCCCCAAAATTGTATAAGCTTCCCACAGAAAGTAGATCCACTTCTGTTCTGGCCTTACTGTTTAACTCACCTTACTCATCTCCCTGAATCAATCCTTGCCCCCTTACAATCTGGCCCACACAGGGTTCTTTTAAATAGCATCAACCAAATCAAGCCACGCCTTTCCTTAAAACCCTCCCCTTACTTCCCATTGTTAAATGTAAACACCTCCCTGCAAAGCAGAAAGCCCAGCCCAAACCGGGCACTTCCTCTGAATTCATTTCATACCCCTCTACCAGCTCAGCTCTGCACTGGCCTCAGCTGTTCCTCACCTGCTGTGCAGGGGCCTGCTTTAGGACCTTGTCCTCAGCTGCTTCTGCTTGAACGACCCTCTTCCCCAGATCCTTACAGCTGATCTCTTCAGGCCGTTCGGGTCATGCTTTAATGTCCCCTGCTCAGAGAGACCTCACCTGAACATCCCTTCAAAAGTGGTTCACCCAACCCCTCTCCATCTCCCTCTCCTTCTTTCTCTCTCTGTCTCTCACACATTATGTTACATAATAACACTTGAGACTTTTTTACTTTGTCTATTTGTTAATTTTCTGCCTTTCGCCACCAGACAGTGCCTTTGTCTGGATCACTGGCTCCTAGAACTTTGGCACAGAGTAGGTGCTCAAGAAATATGGTTAAATTAATTATATAACAAATAAATATCATAAAAACTCAATTAGTATTTGTTGAAATAATTTGAAATGTCATTAGATCCCATTAAATAAAATCAGAACCATCAGTAAGAAGATATTTCTCTTCTAAATTTCATTACCTGAGTATAGAGGCTTTTGTTCAAAGAACTATCTTAGTCCCATACCATTTTATGAACAGTTATGTAGAACAGACAATGGAAATGAAGTGAAATGAAAGGGAAAAAAATAACATTTGGTACAAACCTTTACTATCTCAAAAGGAAAGCGTTCATGGAAGATACGATTGATTTTAGCACCCCCTGAGAGCTCCAGGGTATCTACCTGATCCCCTGACCCTTCAATTCTCTTCTCAAAGTCCACAGCAAATTGCTGAACCATCCTATAATTGTGAAAGAGAAATACATTCAAGTTAAAGTTACCAAGCTTTGCATTCTCATTTTAATTTACTATGGTTATCTCTCAGAATCCTTTTCCTGGTGTTCTTAGTGGCCCCTACTGGCAGAGTTAACATGGCATTCCATTCAGCACTCAAAATGTAATTATATGAAATACATGTTATTAGGATTTATTTTAGACATTTAATTAAAATATATATTTTAAATATTCCTGTTATTAAATGCATTCTGTCCATTTAGTTGCAACCATAAAATGGTATTTAAAGAATGCTTAAATTAAGAATTAAAGTTAAGCAATAAAACTTTATACAATATAGTTAAATGAACCATGGCTCCTATGACCTCTCACTCACCTTGTGTTCCAACTGCTCCAGCTGAGCCTCTCATACTTCGTGAGCTACTCCCTTCCCCACCCCAGCACCACAGACCTCACTCTGCCGGAACAATGCACATTTGTGCCCTCCATGCCCCTCTACAACTAGCTCTAGCCTTGTTTTTCAATGACTCCTCACAATTTGATAAGAAAATTAAACTCCTTAACCCCTCACCCAGGGGTCTCCATGGGCTGGCCCTGGATGCCCGGTCTCCTACTACTCATCCACACTCACTCTCCAAGCCAACCATAAAGAAGCTACTTGCAGTTCCCCACATGTACCATGTCTCTGTGCTTTTACACTTGTTTTCCTGTCTGCTCAGAATACCATTCTCTCTGCCCCTTGCCTTCTCTGCCTGGCTAATTTTTCTCTGTCCTTCAAGACTTAGCACAAGCATTAGTTTTTCCAGGAAATGTTCCATGATCCATATCTACCACCACTCCTCATTACCACCCACATGAAGGGCCCCTCCTCTGCTTCCTCAGTGTATTTTCAGCATAGCACTTAGCAAAGTACATCACCATTGTTCATCTGTCAGTCTCTCTCCTAAGGGCAAGGACCATGCATTTTATTTATCTCCCTCTGTTCAACATGTGAGAGGTGCTCAAGAAATTCAATGAAGGAATGAATTACCTTAAGAAACTCTAATTTTGACATACTGGAACTACTTTTTTTTTTTTTTTGTAAGGAAGATCAGCCCTGAGCTAACATCCATGCTAATCCTCCTCTTTTTGCTGAGGAATACGGGCTCTGAGCTAACATCTATTGCCAATCCTCCTCCTTTTTCTTTCCCCAAAGCCCCAGTAGATAGTTGTATGTCATAGTTGCACATTCTTCTAGTTGCTGTATGTGGGACGCGGCCTCAGCATGGCCAGACAAGCGGCGCATCGGTGCGCACCCGGGATCCGAACCCGGGCCACCAGTAGCAGAGCGCGCGCACTTAACCGCTAAGCCACGGGGCCTGCCCATGGAACTACTTTCAAATTCGAAATCTAATAGGAAAATTCAAACCATCTAAAACGTGCATCTTTTATTCTCTTCCATCAAAATCATGGATGATTAAAAGTAACTGCAAATTATTTAGGCCAGAAAATCTAGAATATAATTGGATATAGCTATGTTTACGCACATGCTAATATTAATCTAAAATTTTTAAATACCTGGAAAGGTATATATGCAACATAATGCACTGAAACACTGGGAAATTTACCTCCAGCCCCGCCTTTGCCCACACCTGGCCCACTAGAACAAGCTGCACCTGAGTGCACACTGTTCTCTTGCCCTCCTTCTTCCACCTGACAACCTCTCTCACACTTCAGGGTCTCATTCAAGTACCTTTTTCTCTGTGAACTCACACCCTTCCTAGATGTAACTGTTTTCTCATCTGGGCTCCCTTAACATTTTGTACTTACCAGAAACAGCATTTATCAGATCTTAACACAGTTAAGATCTTACACGTCTGTTTCTCCTGCTCTATTGTGGCCTCTTCTGGAGGGCAAAAGTCTGATTCATTGTTGAATCCCCAGTACATAGCTCACAGCCAGACAACAGACACAAAGAGATAAGAAGAAGATGAGAAGGAAGGCAGACAGTAACAGAAGAGGAGAAGGAAGGAAGGAAGGAAGGAAGGAAGGAAGGAAGGAAGGAAGGAAGGAAGGAAGGAAGGAGGGAGGGAGGGAGGGAGGGAGGGAAGGAGGGAGGGAGGGAAGGAAGGAGGGAGGGCATGAGGGAAGGGAGGAAGGAGGGAGGAAGGGAAGGAAGGAGGGAAGGAGGGAGGGAGGGAGAGAGAAAGGAGCTGAATCAGCCCCCTACAAGGAAAGACTCTAGCTGTGGAAAATTCTGTAATCTGAGTCCAATAGAGTCACAGAGGTAAGACCCAGTCTTTGCAAGGAGAATAGTTTCAGTTGAATCTTAAGATGATGACCTAGGGCCTAAACAGAAATAGCTTTCCTTTCTCTGTAACTTGAAGAATTTTTATAGGAGCTTAACCAAAGCTAAGAATAAAAGGAAAAGATAAACGAGGAAAAAGTTGAATCCAAGAAAAAAATTCTTTCTTCTGCACGATCTTATAATTTATTTAAATGGAGGAATATAAGATGATGTATTTAAGATGTTACTTAAATAATTTGAGCATTTAGAAATGCCCACTAAGAAATTATATTGTGCATTTTAAATGCCAAGTAAGGGTATTTTGACTGCAAGATTGCAGGATAAAGGGGCCATAAGAGGTGGCAAGCATCATCTGTGGAGATGGACCTCAGATGCCCTGGAATGAAGGCTGGGCAGAGGGGGTCTTCTGGTTGAGAGGGACCTGAGGCAAGCTGTAGCACAAGGGTAAAAGGACAGATGAGGCTGGAATGGACAAAAGAGGGAATAAGTGTATAAGACAAAGGGGCTGGTAATTCTCTAACAAGTCTGCTATCCTAACCCAAGACCCCTCAGGTATAAATCTAGTAACCCAAGGATAAGACAGGAAGATCATGAAGGAGTAAAAAGATTCTTGGCAGTTTTCATATTTATGTTTTTGAAGGGCTAAATTAAAATCATTACCAAAAGGGAAAAAGAAATTTAAATGTGGAAATTTAAATTAAATCTTTGGTTCTCATTCAACTGAAAAATGCACACAGATAGATCACATGAAATGATGGAAATAAAAATATAAGTGTAAGTGAAATCAATAGAAACAGTTGTACAATACAGACGACATTTTCAACAGGAGCTTTGCCCGCTTCTGAAGACTAAGGGCAAAAAACCCTGCCGAGTCATCGCTACTGGTTTCACTCATTTACTGAATCCAATTATAAAAACACAACAAAATTGGGTATGGGAATGGGCAATTGGTTAAATTTATAATAAGAGAATAAGATCAACAATTACTCTTCAAGAAAACATAAAGATTCAAGGCTCATTGGATAACATATACATAGCCTCATATACTTTACTTGCTTCTTCTGTTAAACCTAGAAAATAACATGACAAATAGACTACAGCAAAAGCAAGCTGAAGAAATGAGTTTAAAACGCCGAACAAGGAAGGGCAAGGTGACTCACTGCAGCAACGCTTTGGTCTTCCTGGTGGGGTCTTCCGGCTTGAAGTTTTTGTAGGCTTCAACTTCATGTTCGATGGAGAGCAACTGTCCCTGTAGTTTGTTCCTGAAGTTTGGCAGGGTATCTCGAATGTGGTTGGTAAGTTGCTAAATAAAACAAAACAAAACCATACACGCATATAATAGATTGAAGATTAACTCATGAGGCAAAAATCAGCCTTCGCTGTTTTCCTAATCATTCAAAACTTTAGAAATCATATATACATTTGAGACTGACTGTGCAGGTAGATAGTAAGAAGAAGCTCCAACTCTCCCCTCCACTGCCCTACAGTGATGCTCAAAATTCCTTCAATTAGAGTCACTTTCTTGGGCTATCTCTTCCTGGCTGGGAATACTCTGTTAAAATGTAGCTAATGTTACTCAAGAGGCACGCCACACCTTAGCATGAATTGACTTATCAGATCACCTACCTTATAGAGAGGAACCTTAAGTGAGAATATGGGAGAAATGAAGGAAGTGGAGGGTTACAGGTGACTGATGTCCTCAGGACCAAATGGCTTACCACGCTGGTGAAGCTCAGAGGTACCTGTCAGCTATTAATTTCCTCTCCATTCTTCAGCTCAGGCAGGCGCTTCCTCTTGCCTCCACCTCTAGGCCCCAGTTCAACTGTGGTTGGTCACTGGCTTATGCCCTCAACAGGCTGCATAGAAAAAGCTCCATGACTAGCAAGGGAAAGCTCTCTCTTCTGTTGATATCTCTACCCAACCATCTGCTTGGCATTTCCACGGAGATCATCTGCTGACACCTCAAGCTCAGTACAGGGAAAAATTCTCTAAGAGATTGTCTAAGAGTACATGATAATTAAGAACAAAGGTGGATATAAACCCAGATTGCTTAGCTCTCTGCCTTTCGTTCTATTACAATGCAATTAAGGAAAAGTTTGAATTAAAAAGAAAAATGATAATGTTGAACAGTTTAAGTAATAAACTCAGAATCAAGAGACAGAGAAAACGTAAACTTCCTAGAAATGCAGGAAAAAGAATAATAAATTAAAAGTAAACAGAAAAAATATACCCAGACTGACTGAAGAAACCATTTTAAATAATTTTTATATTTATCTGAGGTTATCCGAATATATCTATTCAATAAATCTATAGTTATTTAATTGTCAATAGTTTCTAACTATATTATATCTTTGCCCACAGTTATTACTTATTATGTTATTTCTCTGGCATGTATTGCTATTATGGCTCTGAAGCAGGAAACAAAAGAATGGAGAGGACGGCACTCCCAGTAGCAATGTCACAAGAGATAAACCCTCAAATCTAAGAGTAACAGTAACCATGAGAAACCAGCAGCCCCGACTGCCATGTGAGTGGTAAATAATAATAACACTTGGTTTCCACGTTTTGCTCCTCAGATGTCTTAATAGCAAAGCAATACTGTGAACCACTCTTGGCTTTCTAAAGCACTTCTTTCCTTGGTTTTTGTGACCCCAGGTCCTCTAATTTTTCTCCTAACCTTTCTGGACGTACCTTCTCCATCTCCTTTGCCAAGTCATCCTCCTCCACCAGACCTGTAAATATTATTAATAGGTCCTAGGCCTCTTCTTTGTTCACTCTCTTTTGTCTCCTAAGACAATCTTATCCACCCATGGCTTCAATAAATATCCAAACACCTGTGGCTACCAACACGTTATCTACAGACCAGACTTCTTACCTTTGCTGTGGGCATATGTATTAGACTACTTGCTTGACTTCTCCTCTTGGGTGTGTCAATGACACCTCAACCTCAGCATCTCTGAAATCAAGCACCTAATCTTCCCTTCAGAGTTCTCCATCTTGGTGACTTCATAAGAATCTGGGAACTTGGAAGTTATCCTTGACTTCACCTCTCCATCACCCACCAGAGCTAAACTACCACCAAGTTCTCAATTTTCCTAAATATTTCTCAAATCTGCTTTTTTCATCTCCTCTGGCACTAACCAAGACCAAGCAACCATCATTTCTCACTTGGACTCCTAACTGGTCTTCTCATGTCTGCTCTTGATCTTCCTATCTGTAATCACCATAATCTTTTTAAACCCACAGATATGATTGTGTTATTCCCTTTCTCAGATCCCTTAAATGGCTGACTCCCCACTGCTCTTAGGATAAAAGCCAAAATCCTTAACTTGGCCTGCAAACATTACATGATCCAGCCACTGCTTAAATCTCCAAAATCATCTCTTATAACTCACTCCCTCCTTCTTCGTCCTGCAGCCATAATGACATTCCTTTCAATTCCTCAAAAATGTGATGTCCTTTTCCAGTTTTTGCCATAGAAACTGTCCCTCAGGATCAGAGGTGTTGGTGCACACTGAATCAGCAACAAAATTATCCTAGATGCAGAGTATGAAGATCCTTGAAGCAATAAAGACAGAGTGAGTATCCAGGAAACGAAAGATCTTCAGTATAAAATTCATTCAATTTTCAGTCAACCAGAAGTCAATTATGTCATAATTTAGGGGTCACTTGTAATAACCAAATGGTCAGTCATATCCTTTCCACTATTCCAGTATTCATAACCTAATTTATTTCCAATTTTATCTTTCTAATCATTGTAGTAATTTTTCTGTAAGATTTTTTCAGTTTATTTGTGTTTTTCATAGGCCAATACAAGCATGAAAACAGTAGTCTAAAAAGAGTTTTAAATCCTCAGAGAGCTGACAAGAGACCTAAAGGCTGGAGGCTTATAGCAATTGTAAGCCCCTGAGTCTAACAACCTGCCACGCTGGGGGCCTACTCACTTAAAAGAAATATTGCAACACAAATGTGCTATTAGAACTTGCAGCCAACTGTGTTGGGGCTCCCCACACCTGATAAAGAGACTGAAGGGCCCACAACAACTACAAGCAGCTGAGCATTACAACAGCTGGCCAGGAGCATAACTCGGCCTCCCTAGGCACCTACAGGGAGAGCAAACAGGCCACAACAGAAGGACACACGTAGCCCACA